GTCAGTGTGTTTTAAAGCAGGAGGGGAAACTCGCACACACACAAGAAAGAGTTACCTTAAAAAGGGAAGAAGAAATCTGGAGAGGTACAGGGTGCTGCAGTACTGGCTACAGGGCAAAACCTGTTTATTTTCTCTCCCCGTCCTAATGTCTGAAGCCAGAAGATGCAATCACAGAGAGGTTAAGTGACCCAGCGGAAACTGCAGGGACAGAAATTAAACTCGAGCTTCCTGGATTTCAGCCCAGGGCCTTCCCTGCAGTTACAGCACTGCTAGTCCGTGGATGAAGGAGAATATTTTAACACATTAAAAGTGTCTGTAGGTGGCTGACCCCACCAGGAAGAGGAACAACTGAAGATAATGAATAGCCTGAAATGCATGAATAGAATATTGTGTAGCTAAAGGGTCATCCAAGCCTTCTGTGGGCTGGCATAGGCCTCCCTCCGGCCCCACCTGGGCCATTTATAGTAAAGAAGGGAAGTTTCTCCCTCTTCCTTTTCAGGTGGAGGTAAATAAGGGCATGAGCCCCCAGGCTGCAAGATCTCCCCTCGATCTGAAGAAGCTGGACCTTAAGGTCCCTTTTTAAAATGTAGGCAAACTCCCAGACTGTGAGCCCAGGAAGCACCAGGGCATTCACCACGAAGCCCTGAGGTACAAGATTGCCTTGCACTGATCCACAGCTGGCCAAGGGGCTCTTGGTCAGAACTGGCTCCATAAACAAAGAAAATCTGCTAAGATGAGGGCCTGTGTCAGTCCAGCACACGCAGCCCCAGGCAGCTCCTCAGGGAACGCGGTGTCTGACCTCACATGCTACATAAAGTTATTACACAGAAAAGATGAGATTAGCAGAGGTATGTGAGCCTAGAGAAGAGCTGAGCTCTGCGCTCCTGAGAGCCAGCCCAGGTTTGCCCCCAGCTCTTCACAGCTTCCTAGGGCTACATTTCAACCACTCCAAATGTCTAGGCACATTTGGATTTCAGTTTTCAATCAAACTCCAGCCTAAAAGAAATACCCCTGTTGCTCTATAATAAAGACCAATTTCTTCACCCAGAGAAAAGGTTCCAACACTTGCCGAGATGTCAGGTGCCACAGTTTTTAGAAGCTGTGTTCTTTCTCATTGCAGTTAAACTTCCCATAGGAAATGCCCCGTTTTCACAGATGAAGAGCGTATGCTGTTTCCCATCTACCCTAAAAATGAAATAAAAGTCTGATGAAGCATCAAGGGAAGAAACAAGATGTTTTCCCATAGGAATGAAACCCAAAACTCATAGCAACCCAAACCCACTCCTTTGCACACCAAGTGTTTCCCTGACACCTTTCTCACAGAGGTTTGAACCCTCATTGCTGTATATAATTCTTATCTGATCCTCAAGAAGCACATCCCCCTACAGAGAGCACTGTACAAATCACCCCTTCACTGAGCTGGGTGATGCTTTCCAGCAGAGACTTAGGACATCAGAATCATAGAATGGTTTGGGTTGGAAGGGACCTTAGAGATCATCGAGTTCCATCCCCCTGCCCTGGGCAGGGACACCTCCCACCAGACCAGGTTGCTCCAAGCCCCATCCAGCCTGGCCTTGAACCCCTCCAGGGATGGGGCAGCCACAGCTTCTCTGGGCAACCTGGGCCAGGCTCTCACCACCCTCACAGCAAAGAAGCTCTTTCTGGTATCTAATCTAAATCTCCCCTCTTCCAATTTAAAACCATTACCCCTTGTCCTGTCACTACACTTCCTGACAAATAGTCCCTCCCCAGCTCTCCTGTAGCTCCCTTCAGATATTGGAAGGCTGTTATAAGGTGTCCCCAGAGCCTTCTCTTCTCCAGGCTGAAAAACCCCAGCTCTCTCAGTCTGTCTTCACAGGAGAGGTTCTCCATCCCTCTGATCATCTTCGTGGCCCTCCGCTGGATCTGTTCCAACAGGTCCAAGTCCTATGTTCTTTCCTCCCCTGTAAATTTCTCTGAACAGATCCTTCTGTGTCCTTCAGCCAAGCGTTGTGCTTGTCCTGCTGAGGCACATTCCACGTCCACAGCCCACTGATCTCCATGGAGGCCAGTGCAGGCTCCTGTCCTGTCACTCTGCCCAGAGCAGCCACACATTCAGCGCAAACAGACGCCGCTGCCTTTGGGAGACTCCTGACCCCGGAGGGAATTTCCCTTGCCTCCGTACCACAGCCTGCAGAATGAGCCACTGTCTCTAAAACAAACACTCAAATGCTGTTGCTTCTCATTAGCCCCAGACTTTTGTCCCCTTATTCATGGGAAGGAGTACCTTGGCCACGCAGCAGTCACTCCAGCGGCGTCTGGCTGAATAGGACCTTGTTTCCCTGTGCGGTGCCTGCCCGAGCCCCGGCAAACTGGGAGAGTTATTCTCACTGAAACACAGAGCATCAGGATCAGGCCACAAAGACTTCAATAAAGGCAACAAGCACATAATAAAGCCAGATGACAACTGATCGTTACAAAAGGCTGTCCCTACAATCAGAGTGACGTATTGCAAGAGTTTTCGTCGCGGTTCTCCCTGCTTTATCCAAACCCAGTCGTGCCTCCAGCTCAGATGATTTCTCTCTTTTGCTGTCACTTCCTCCCTCTCCGCAGTATTGACCCAGGACAAGGAGCAGACTGACCAAGAGCCCAGCCATGGTGCCAGCAGCCCCAGTAGGAACCTTCAACACTAACCCTGCTTCTCCTTGTCCTGCTTTAAAGCCAGTGAAGATCACAGGCAGACACCCCCATTCCCATCAGCTCAAAGATCAAAACCACATTAAACCCCTTCATTAGGCCAGTCATTTTGTCCTCTATCTTTTTAGGACAACCCCAGTCTGAGGTGGGAACCACAGCATTGCCCAGTGGCCCAAAACATCATCCCCACCTGTAGCCATATCCCAGACCAGTCCCCAGCTCCACACAAGCTCTCGGGCTGTCCCCAAAGGAGCAGCGACAGGTAACAGAGAGAGGAGAGGCACCAGGGGGGTCCCAGCCTCTGTGCCACTGGAGTGAGAGAGAACAAACCCATACCCAGCTACGTGGGCTAGTTCTGAGAGGACAGTGATACTTATACTAACCTGGTCAGACACTTTGTGCAAGCTCAGCATTATTGAACTGGCCCTGAGCCAAAGCCCAGCCCTGCTGCCCAACACATCCCAGTCCTCACGCTGGCACCAGCCAGGCTGTGTCCCCAGAGATTCGTATAAAGGAACTTATTACAGTTTGGAAATGTGAATCCCACCATGTGATTTATGACAAGTTGCCCTCAAAGGCCAGTGAACTTCTACAGAAAGAAGGGGTGAGAAGATGGAAAAGAGCGCTGGACACAAAAAGAAAAAAGAAAAAAAAAAGGAAAAAAAAAGGGGCAATAAATATGACATGCTGGTGGTGTTTAAGGGAAGGCCGCCTGAATCTGCAACGGAAGTGCAGCCTGAACCCCAACACCTGCTGGATGTAATGGACTCTGAAGTGTTGTTTCAGAATTAATCAAGTCATTTAAAATCATAGCTGTAGTCTCCATTCACTACTCCTGTGCATAAACGCGCTGATCCCGATACTAATCCATGTCGGGTGACTTGAGCAATATATCACCATAATTGCCATTTTAGGGCTGCAAATTGGAGCTAAAATAACCAGATGCAAAAGAGATGGCCATATCATACTCTCAAGATGGATCTTCAAAGTTCAAGGAGAGTTCAAGCATGGAAGAGGCAATAGAGAGGGGTCAAGTGTAAGGAGATTGTTCATGTTCAAGAGGAATTAACTTTACAAATATATTGTTTCTGAGGTGGTAATTGTACCATCTTAGAGCTATTCATACCTCATTTAATCTTTGCATTCTTCTCAGCCATTAGAGCGATTGTTCCTCATTGAAATAAATTTGATTTTGACAAAATATTCTGTTTTAAAACTGCAACTAATTTCCCCAAGATTTTTTGCTCTGAAAGAATTCTCTCTGAAACCACACAGCCCAGAAAGAGCTACCAGATCTCCAAAGGACAGGCTCGGGATCCACGCACAAGGCAAACGCACCGAGAGTGCTGAGGTGGTCCATGATCAGGGAAACAGGCAGCCGGGCAGCCTTATGACAATTAACAAATACAGGGCACAAGATCTCATCAAAAAGAGCATTGAAAGCACTGTTCTCCCTCATGGTGTGTCTGTGGGCCTGGTCGAGAAGCTTCAAAGTACTCAAGCACCTCAGCTACCGTGGATTTTAAGTTTACCAACACGGAAATGCCTCTTAGCATCCAAGGCTATTATTTCCCACATAATTTGACAAACAAAAGTTCACGTAAGCAGAAAAATCAGTTGTTCTCTGAAGAAATCAAGCAAGAGACATGGAGCATTCAAGGATGGGACTGTAACAAGGGTAAGAAATTGTAGTGCTTTATTTTTCCGAGGCGTCCAGCACAGTGAGTCCCCCCAGTAAAAGCAGCGTACCTGCCGTCAGAAAGCAGTGACCTAGCACAGATCCTAGCCTCCAAAAGATCAAAACAAAAGGCCTTTTGATAAGCTGTAGGCCAAGCACATAAACAAGTTTTAAGCCGCTCATCACCACCAGTTTAAGAAATTTCCTCAGCTGATCGGCTTCTCTTTTTAAGAAGTCAGATGAGCCCATTAATTACGTGTTCCCTTTCCCAGCTTCAAATTGCACCATGAAAGTATGATTTCAGGTTATTGTCGAACTACCACCAGAGCTAGAGAATTGCTGTTGGCATCTAATAAGTCACCTGCAGAGCCCATTGGGCCAACACACACGCCCTTGTTTCTGTAAGGCTGGGTCCAAAGAGTCCCCACTGCAAGGCTGCAGTTTGAACTTGCTGCAGCTACAACTCCTGCAGACAAAGGGAGGGCTTTTCAGGCAGCGTAAATCAGGGCAGCACCATTGTGCCTGGCGGAGCTATGCTAATTCATCCTGCCAGGATCTGCTGACCTGAGCACCTCCAAACAATGGCATTACACAAAGCTAATGTGCTATGGGTTACTTGATAATTTCTGCAGCATAATTGGCCAACACGGAAACGTTAGAAATGACTGAAGTTCATAACTAATTGCAACCATTACCGAGACAGCATTATTTATGATTAACTCTGTGCAGTAGGCCTGATTCTGGTTTCACTCACATCTCATTGCAGTCAGGTTTTTGACAGGTGGCTTGTGGCGTTTCCTGTGTGCCCAGCTTCTGGCAGACCAGCCCTCATGGCTACAGCTGCCTTTGCAGCGTGTGAAGTTTGACACCACCCTGAGAACATCAAAAAAGTCAGGTCTTGGGGGCTTGAACTCTAGGCTGAGAGGGAAAAACTCTGTTTAACTTGATTGGAACTGGAACAGAGCAGAGAGATTTTTTCAGAAATGCTTAGATCACATTTACAGCCCAAAATAAATGGCTCAAATTTCCAGTTTTCTTCCATAGGTCTGACCTTTGAGTCTTGATGGGAGCTTTGGGGAGCTGGCTTCTCTTGGAACTCTGCCTCCAGCCATGGGTGCTCAGTTTAGAAACCTGGCTGGCGGGAAGGTGACTCACAGCAGCACTCCTTCAGTAACTTTGGAACTCCCTAAACACAGAGAAAAATCAGTGTGAATTCCACCGTTACTCCCCCGAACACAGACACATACATGCTAACATATATACTATATATTTATGTAAAAAATGTATGTAAATCAAGTCTCTCAAGCAGTCCCCTGGTTGGACACGCTCCTGAAGTCTGACACAGCCAAGTCAAAGCCTGGAATCTCTTGCGCAGAATGAACAGTTCCATATCTTTATTTTCCCGAGAGCCCTTGTCTAAAAACAATCATCTGCAAATTATAATTTTTCTCCACCTTCCATAAATATCAGCGATAGTGCAGCCCTCTCTCCCCCTCTCTTTTTCTTATTCAGGATATCAGGCAGATAAGAGTTATCAGTAAAGGTCATCCTCAATTTCTGTACAGAAATGATCTGTCTCCGGTATGTAATAAACATTTATCCATGCCTTTATTAGCTATATTGGATCTGACAGTTCTGTTAAACCATTTTCTTTCATTTTGCTAGGTCATGACGGTTAATGCTGCTAAAAAATCTCATCACTGCTTTTGATCACTGTATTGTCTTCTCGGTATTATCAGGATTTTGTAAAGGTAAGCACTGGCTGGAATGACCTATTAAAGTTACAGCCCGTTGAGTTCCTGGCTTTTTTCTCACCACAATAAAAAAGCGAAGGAGTGCAAAGCATAAATTCTACTTTCGGGGATATATTTAGTTGTGCAGTTGACATTTAGTAGAGCAGTCACTTTAAGCCCACTTTGCATTGGTTTCACTCCATCTTTTTCACATCCTTGAGTTCCTGAAATGGTGTTGGAAGCCACACCATGGCAAATGAGCCCAATTAGTGGGACCAGGAGGTGATGTCCTAGTTAACCCCTACCACACCAGCAGCGCGTTAGGCATCTGCTTGGGGTTTTTAAACAATTCCTGTGATTTACGAAGCAGCCTCCACCTGCAGACTGGGAAGCATGTAGAGCATTTCCATTCACTCCCACACGCTCGCGGCAGAGCAGCCTGTATTCCAAACCCCAGCAACACTCAGCAAAGCACTGGAAGGTACTCATCTATGGCAGACTTGTTGCAATTCTCACCTCCCTCCACCCAGCTCTGTGTTTCAACCACCAGGACAGACTTTCTTTCAGCTTAGCATGAAAGGGCTTCATCCCCTGCCCCTTGTTCTCTGCTGATGCTTACTCCAAATTCATCACTGTAGTGTCTAAGTACATGACATATTTTTCAAACTGCTTTTTCTCTCCAAGGTACGGGTAGTATTGCTCCACTCTGGTTCTCCCCAGCCCACTCTGTTACTGGCAATGCCAGTACACGCTGAATTAAAGACAGCACTTGGGCCCAGCATTATCCTTCCAAGTGGCCCACCAATCTTGGACTGTGGGTCCTCAGACAAGTTGTGAAAATCAGCCAAAACCAGAGTGAGGAGCCAGTGTAGCTCCCTTGGGAGTGGAGAAACATACCTGTGATGTCACTTTTAATTAAGACATCACAGCAGCCCTTTGCAGACGTTGGTATCTAAAGTTAACCCAGGCTACTGGTGCTGGGAGGATTTGGGGATGAGGGAGCTGGTGCTGAGCAGAGGTCCTTTCAGCCTGCTGTCCTGCCAGCCACAGCAGCCAGAAACAGCAGGTTCAGAAGGTACAGGCAGCCCTTGTGATGGTTTGGAAGAGAAACCTGTTCAGAAAGAATGCCTGCCTTATCCCCATTGAGTTGGGAACAGCTTTCACACAAAAAACAAACAAACAAACAAACAAACAAACAAAGCCCCCAACAAACCCCAAAGTCCCCAAAGTAACAAACAAACAAACAAACAAACAAACAAAGTCCCCAACACTCCTGACTGCAGAACTGGGCACTGTGCGACTATGGGCATACTGCAGAAAGTCATAGTGACTTCACTACAGCTACAGTAAATATCCATAGGTAAAAACCTACTTTCTGTCCCAAACCCTGTTTTCAGACTGTAACAAGGGGCTTGAAGTCAGCAGCATAAAAGAGTGTATTATTTCTTCCTGTAAGCAGTATGTTGCTTTTCAATTTCAAGTGTCCCCTTATTTGGCAGCAACAACCCACACTCTTCCCTTCTGCAATGGTACCCAGCTGCAGCTTCCCTGGCTTCCCCAGGCACGTGGAGATGGATGGATGTAGCAACTCTCAACAACAACAAGCAAAATGCTTTCCTCGTCTCCAGGACAAAAGGCATATCAAGAAGACAAATCTCTCCGAGTGCTTCTCCGTATGCTCTCCGTCTCCTTGTGCCCTGTAAGCCTGTGTCACATACACCTGCAGCAGCAGAGGTCCAACCTTCTGTACAGAAAGGAACAACCCGCGGAGGCTCGCGTCTCTGCTGCCAGGACACTGGTAAGCCCCAGGGAAATGCAGGAATTCCCTACCCTGGCTTTCTGCCTGCCAAAAATCCCACAACTTTCAACAAAGGAAGACCAAGGGTGTTAACCCCAATGCCCCAGCTAACTTAACCCAAACCTTGCTCCCAGTATCCCCACTTGGGGAGAGAGGCCTCTCCTCCTTGTCTCTAAATGGCCACCCAGCAGAAGTATCTCCCCATAATAATTCATGAACAGGCTTCAAATGGTGCGGGCGCGGAGGTGGAGGCTGGCTCAGACACGATTATCCCTTTCACCAGCCTAAGTTAGGAGAGCAGACAATAGGCACACAGGCCAATAGATGCACTCTGACCTTGATGTTTCAGACCACCAGGCTGTTAAACAAGAGGCAGGACCCCTGTGGTCATGGGAATCTCCAGCATGTGCTTAAAACTGTAACGCTATATTTATTGGTGAACTTTGACTAAGCTATCTTTAACGATTTTCAGGTCCATATCTACTTGCACAATTGTATGCACTCTGTATGCACACAGACAGACACACAGGCATAAGGTGAGAGAGAGAGAACTCCTCATAACAGCCTTTAAAAGGCCCTTCAGTGGCAGCTACTGCCTGCAATTTTTCACCTATCACCCCTGCTCCTTTAGTTTGGTTGACAAATAGCATTTTTCTACTGAGCCTTCTCATACTATAAACAGGTACATCTATGCCCTATTGAAGATGATTTTTGGCCCAGAGCTCCGTTTCCTAGGTATTCTGCTTAAAACCAGCAAGGTGGTTTCTGATGGCTGGGAGCAATTGAACTGTTACTCACGTTCTACAGAGAAGTCACCCTAAGCAGCCAGCTTTGCCAGGCTCAGCCCACTCCGTACGGTTCCTCCTCTGCACACTGGAACAGGACTCAACAGGGACATGGAACAAATTGGCTTTGAAGGGCCGGTCTTCCAGGAAGATGGAAATCCCGATGTCTGACTTCTATAGGAGCTAGCAGATTTGTGCAAAGAAGCGAGAACATCCATTAAAAATCACCTAATTGACCAATTTGCCAAGTTATTTGTCTTTAAAATGAGAGATTTTACATGTCCTGCTATATTGCTGATGAATTTTAGTAGCAGAGAGTAAACACAGTCCTAGAAAATAAAATCCATACCCAGATAATGCAGCTGGTAGTTAATGATTACAATATGTGACACTTCAAATACACCGAGTCGATGACATTTAGCTGATTTGTCTTCCCTATTTTTCGCTAAGCAGGTTGGCAAAAGAAGAAAAACGGTTGATCTATTAACAAGTTTAACACAACCTTGAAATAAATTACATTCAAAAGCTAAAAGCCTGATTCAGCTTAATAGTTAAATCATTTATTCCTAGGCAAAAAAAAAAAAAAAAAAAAAAAAAAAAAAGAAAAAAAAATCCTGCCCTGAAGTCATTATCAGCATGATCCTCTATTTGAAGTCTCGCAAAATGTTCAAGGATGGCCCTTGTGGTTTGGCCAAAAAGAAACAACACACTCAGCGGCGCTTTGCAGGCCAAAGAAAATGGAGACTCCCAGTATGAGAATATTAAATTATTATGGCTTTTGCAACAGGGGGCACAATTGTTAGTGGCCCCCTTCCCCTGATGGCCAAGCTATGTTCCTCCCCGCCGTGAACATTCATTGTCATACCTAATATTTGCATGCTTTGATAATAATAAGATTGTCAAGATAATAGCAGGGAAGTTTCAGTAGAAACTCAATTTTCAAAAGCCAGCTGTGCACGGCCCCTGTCGCTTTTTCTAAGAAGATGCCTTCAAAAAGCAAAATTAAGCCTTGCTCATGAGTAAAAAAAAGAAATAATTCCCCTCCCCAAAAGAAGAAGAAGAAAGGAAAGAAGGGTCATTGGGCAAGAGAAAGATGAAAACCACTTCCTGGAGAAATTATTTTTACATGAGTTTAAACTTCTTTTTGTTCCCAAAAGCATTTTGGTCAGTGCAAGCAAATAATACTGCAAACAGAAGAGCAGGTCTTAAATCAGGGAATAATTACCTTTGTGAGCTTTATTGATTGCACTGATGTAGCTGAAAGAGTTTGGGGGCTTTTCTCTCTCACCCACCTTTTTGCATGACATAACCATTCAGCAGCTCAAATGAGGTGGGACATAATGTGATTTTTGGAAAGAATGGTACTATTGTTGAAGTCCACAAAATCTGTATTTCTTAGGGTTTTGGCAAACTTGCTCCTTTGTCCACACAAAATAATGGCTTTAAAAAAAAGAAAGGAAAAAGAAAAAAGTCTGCTCCCTCTTCCCTTTTGCCCTTTTTCCCCTATCTCAGACTATGTTATCCTAAGTCATCAAGGCTGAGATATCAACACTCATGAAAAACCTCTGCAGGGGCAAACGCTGTGGGCCGAGCCCTCATCAGACAAGAAGCCAAACCTCTTTGCTGTACATCAGGGGGCTGACGGAGCCCAGCAGCTACAGCAGCCCCAGGGCTGTGCTGTGCCTGCGTCAGGCACTCCTCATGCCTCTCTCCAGTGCTTTTCACTCACTTTGGCCTCGTTTTACACTTTAAATAGCTTTCTTTTTCAAGTGATCTGAATTAAAGTATTTTTCCCAGTGCCATACACTCCTCTTCAATTCAGCTGAGACACAGAAATTAGGTATTTGCTTCTGGGCTCAGGAACTTTCCTTCTGTGAACAGCCTGCACTGAGATGCACTGGTCTGTAGCGACCTCCACCCCAAAGCCCTTTCCACCCAACAGAGGGAGAGAGAGGATCAGACTCAAACCCAGCTTTCTACAAGGAAGAAAACATCTCAAGCCAAGCCAAACATCACCCTCTCGCATTGACTGTGCCACTATTTCTGCAAATCAAACAGGTCTGTATAGTTCTTTAGTGTAACTATACTCACAGAGCACACTTCATACAGTCCGGGACGCAGGTGATTGAATCCCACGAGATTTTAGGTCATTGGTACCGAGCAGGGAGTGCTCCTGATGACAGCTGTATACTGATTCTTTGGAGAGAAGAGGAAAAGAGCAACTTCAGCTATTGGGGCTGCCAGCAGAGGTCCATTCATGGAGCCCCCCAGGGTTTTTTTCCTGCTGTACAGCAGAAAGCAGACTTCAGGACAAGTGTCCATCCATAATCTGCTCCATTCTCTGCACATTTCAACCTCCAAGAAGCTGATGGGGTGACTTACCCGTGAGGTTTTGGACACCACATGGCTTTATTTGTTTCTGGCCCTTGTAGGCTGCCAGAGAGTCAGCAGCAGCTAGGATGCAGGCACAGAAACCTGTCTGGTTTTCACATGAAAATGGGGGTGTGTCTTTTCACTGGCTTGTGCTCAGTGAAATATATACAGCAAGAGTGAAACGAGCACCAACGACCAACAGGTGAAATGTCCTCACTGACTCACGTCTGCAGAGCACTGCTGTCTGAGCAGGAATCATCCCAGAACATGCAGCCCAGAACAACAGCAGGAGCATCCCCAGGACCATCCCAGAGTGTCGAGGCAGAGTTGGAGCCCAGGCCAGACCTGCTGGAAAGACATCTCCTAGAAGGGAACAGTTCCCCACAGCAGCCAGGAAGCTGCTGAGGGAGTGGAAATCTGTAAGAGAAACCAACAACAATGAGCAGAGATGTTCACTAACTTGATAGCCCTACGATAAATAAATAGTAAAATCAGAATGGCAAGTCATACCCTCACTTCTGCCAGCACTGCCTTCTTCAGAGAGGTGTGAAGAGCAGATCACAGCGCTAATAATTCATCATTTCCTCCCACTGACCCATCCAGACAATGGTAACCCACCACCATCTCCCCTGTTAGGGGACAACAAAAAGACAACGAAACCATTTTTTTTAAATGCTTTCAGGTACACCTGTAATTCTAACAGGATGGAGACAGATGTCTATTTATGCAAAGGCAAGTCATACCCTCACTTCTGCCAGCACTGCAGACCTTCAGAGAGGTCTGAAGAGCAGATCACAGCACTAATAATTCATCATCATGGCAGGGGGGTTGGAACTAGATGATCCTTGAGGTCCCCTCCAACCCTAACCATTCTATGATTCTATGATTTCCTCCCACTGACCCATCCGGACAATGGTAACCCACCGCCATCTCCCCTGTTAGGAGACAACAAAAAGATAACGAAAACATTTTTTTTTAAGTGCTTTCAGGTACACCTGTGATTCTAACAGGGTGGAGACTGATGTCTATTTATGCAAAGATTGTCTCAGCAGTGCAGCCTTGCTGCTCCAGAAAGCCCTAACCCCGGGCGGTCCTTAGCTGCACGCTCATCCATTTCTGCCTCTGTCATTTCCATGCTTCAGCCAGAGAGAATTTTGGTGTTGCCACACATACAGCTACTGCTTTGGTTCATCTTGTGCTAAATCACCCATTTCCAGGAAAAGAAATGAGAAGTGAGTCCATAGGACAGATATCTGCAACAGCAGCTGCCCTGCTGCAGCAACAGCCCTGCTGCTGAACCCACTGAGGTGCAGCTCCACGGGGCTGGGATGGAGGGGCTCAGGGAAAGCACACACTGCACTATTTATATCAGCACAGCATAGGCTGACACACCAACATCTGCACCTGCTGAGAAAGGAAACACATGTTCTGGAGTAGTAGATAACTTGGAATGGGCAACTAAGCATCCAACGGCACACACCGATTAAAGGGAGATGTTTGTGGCCTCAAATTGTGATTATTTCTCTATTATACCTTCTCCTGTTGTTTGGGTTCTCTGGAGTTCCATCAGTGTAAAAGACGGCAGAAGAGCTGGTTTCTAATCCACCGCGTTAAAGTCCATACTTAAAACTGAAACTTGGCAAAATTTAACTTCTTGTATTCTGCATTAACAGGGCTACTTGATTGGCTGTTTTCCATGCAGGGGAGAAAGCACTCAGCACATTCACCATCACGGTACCAGCGCTTGGGAAAAAAAATAAAGAAAATAAAAAGAATAAGAGGCATGTTCAGTGTCAGTGTGGATCCCCAGGCTGCCGTGGGAGGAGAAGGGAGAAGCTGCATCCCACCAGCACTGGAGGCTGCACTCAGCCCGGGCAGGGGCATGGAAACAGCTCCAGCTCCCTCACAACTTTATTCCTCTCCCGGGGCCCGCGCTCCGGCTCTTTAGTCCCAAGTTCCTGATGTGCCACTCACTCGCCCTTCAGGAGCTCACAAGCTGACATCATCCTGCCTTTCAGGAAGAAATGTGTCAGCAGAGCAGCAAGAAGAAATCAAAGGAGTAGAAAGCAAGGAACAAGCCCCAGTTTTTAGTCCAAAGCACAGGACTTAGACAGCACATGGGATTTGAGGGCTTTCCTGTCCCTTTCCCCCCATGGCCAGGCAAGGGAGCGGGCATTCTGCTGGGAGCCACGCCGTCTGAAAGGCCCATGTTCCCACTCCTGCCCGCGACACAAGTTTATCCTGGAGCTGCTCTGTTCCTTTGAGAGGGGCAGTGTGGGACAGAGGAGGAGAGGGGGAAGTGGGGGGAAGCTTTTCTTTACACTCGTGCTGTTCTGAATGTGGACCATCTGTGCCCCCAGCTGGAGTGCTGGAGATGGTCTGGCACTTGAACCACACCATATTTACAGATCTAAACACAAATGGCTACTGCCTGATTGTTTCATGATTCATTAGTCAGACAAGCTCTCCTCTCCCGCCAGCACAGCTGTTACAGAGTAAACCTTTGTCACTTAATAGGCCTGATTATTACTTTCCATCAAAGGTATTGATCTGTGTCATCTCTACTTAAGGGAAAAGGGGAGAAGCGAAAAGGGGACCAAAATGTGTCGGGAAAACAAGAAAAGGGGGGGGGTGGGGAATTAAAAAACAATGACATTTGTATGGTGACTAGAGGCAGCGGTCAATACGTTTAATCTCTCCTGGATGTACTGTATTCATGTATTCATTTACCACAGTGCCGAGGTTACTCCTGGAGATGAAACGTCTCACATGATGTGGCATTCCTTGCACCGCACCAGACTGCTGCAGTCACACAATATGGCCATGCATATAATTGGTCGGCCAAATACACAATGTGAATTAACAAATAGCATTAAAAAAAAAAAAAAAAATAGAAATCAATTAAGTCATGCAGCAGAAGGTAAAAATACAGGTTCATCTCTAACTGGCATGAGATTAGAGGAAGGGACTGACAGCCAGACAGTCATTCTGGGGTTAAGCCCCCGTCCACCCTCAGCAGCACTACCCCAATTTACACCAGTGAGGAGCTGGCCCTTTTTGTTTAGCGAAGGAGCTCGGGATAGGATGTGCTCTGTCACAAAATAGCGATGCAGAGTGTATTTACCACAGCTTGAGAGCTTCTCGTTGCTCCAGCAGCCGCCTGACAAGCTGCCATTGCAGCAATGGCAGTGTTATTGCAAATTCACTCACTCCATTGGCGGGATGAGGTTTGCAACATCCAGACTGAGAGTTTCATTGCCTCTCTGACTCACAACGCTGTGATTAGCAGCATTACTGCTTCCCTGCTGTGTCTGAGGTGGTACCTGGTCCCCACCATCCCAGTGACCAGGTGGGGGGTGGCTCTGGTGGCAGGCTCGGCTGTGGCAGTGGGGAGCGAGCTCTCGAGGAAAGATGGCTTCACTCTCCATTTCCTTGTGCTTAGGGGATCATTGCTCCCAAAGCCCTTGTCTGGCCCTCTTTCAGACTAAAGAGCAGGGCAGGACTGGGAACTACGGGAGGGCGAAGGAGCCACAGCAGGAACCATTGGCTTGTGCCAAGCAAGCAGCACAGAGTCACTACTGAGGGGGCCGGAATCGAAGAGGAACAAAAGCGGTAAGTGTGACTTCAGAGCCCAACAGCACAGACACAACCAGTGTCAGTGATCTGAGTGCTGCCTCCAGTCACTCTCCCAGCTCTGGAACAGTTTCAGGAACAACCCCAAAATCACTGCTGCTCGGCTATCCCAGAACACGTTCTTTCTGGGTGAAACCCACTCCCTCATTGCAGGTCTCAAGAGGACAGGGCAAGGAATAATCCTCTCAGGCTTTTTGGACCAGCAAGGTCCAGAACCCAAACTCATTCCCACACAGAGTAGGAAGTCCTTGGTTGTACCGGCATGCACACTGCAATGGATTGCAAGAAGAAAGCAAGGTCTATTGCAGGATGGGAAGTGTTTTCCATATGAGAACAGAACAACTAACAAATGCACAGCCCAGGGGTAACACTCAGCAAAGGGGACCTGCTGGTTTTCCTCCTGCACCTTGTTTGCTGTGCAGTCCTGCAAGGACTGCCTCCATTTTCCTCACCTCACAACAAACTCCTTCCCCCCCACCAATACCTCCCAAGAGCAGTCTATAAATACGAGGAGCTTTCCCTCAAACCAAGATGTGTGTTCTCAAAGCAAAGGGGTGAGGAAGACGTTACACAGGGAATATCAGTCATTTGAGGTAAAGCACTGTTGACAGAATGAAGGAATATTCTATTACAGCCCAGCTTCCATCCAACGCTCTGAAACAGACCAAAATACACGTGCTTTTCTGGCTAAATCTGTGCCCCGAAGGAAACCCAGCCCTGCCACCCTCGTGTTCCCCCCAGCCCAGTAAGATCCCATTTCTACCCGCTCACTCCCACATCCCCAGGCACACGTGTTTTCGCCGGATGGAAAGGAAAATCGGGAGAGTGCAGCACATGGCACCAAGCAAGAGCTGTGGCACACACGATCCGCGGGGAAGTGTTGCTTGGCAATCCTGCCTGTGCTCAGCCCAGCCAAGGGCCCGGCGCTGTCTCTGTGCCAGGCAATCAGCCGCTCAGCTCACGGGCAAAGCAGCGGCCACAGAGGATGGAGAAGCAGAAGGGAGCCGTCAAACCCAAGAGACACACTTGCTCTCGTCTCCTCACACGCTACAACAAATAGCAGGGGGGTGGGGAGCAAGGAACCAGAGAGATGCTGTACATTTTAGCTTAACCCATTTACCTTTCTAATGCATCAAGGAAGAAAACTGCTTCGTCAGTGGTTAAAGAGGGACCAAACCCAACACACTGAG